AACAGGTAAAACTGCCTTGAGGAAGCAGTCTTCTCTTTGCCTAAGGCTATCAGCTTTACAAACAATTTCTAAAAGAGCCTCAGCAAGCACCTTTGGAAGGCAGGTAAGACTACAGAGTGTCCTTAAGACCAGGGTCAAGAGGGCTGGGGGAATAGTTCACTTGGTAAAATACTTGCCAAACAAGCTTGCAGATCCGGAGTTTGACACCAGCATCCATATAAAAAGATGGCATGGTGACAAGCTCTTGTCACCCCTGTGCTGAGAAAGCAGGGCCAGGCTAATCCCTCAGTGAGTGATAGGTCTCAGTGAGAGAGTTTTTTTTTTTAACCTCTGTAAACAAACTGGGGACTGCTGAGTCTCCTCAGTCACTAAACTGAGGAGGAGAGCTCAGTCCCCAGAACCCATTGTGAAAGGCTCCTGAAAGTTGTCCTCTGATTTCCATATGTATGTGCTGTGATGTGCATCATACACAACATCTCTCTCTCTCTCTCTCTCTCTCTCTCTCTCTCTCTCTCTCTCTCTCACACACACACACACACACACACACACACACACCATTACATACAAAAGATTTCAGAATCAAAAAATTATAGAAGTAGCCATTCTTTTATAATTATTATTTTATGTGTATAGGGTTTTTATCTACATGGAAGTCTGAGCACAGCAAGTATGCCTTGTACTGGTTGAGGCCAGGAGGAGTCAAATCCCAGGGACTAGAGCTACTAGGGTTGTAAGCCATCATGTGGGTGCTGAGAATCAAACCTGGGTCCTCTGGAAGAGCAGTCTGCTAAGTCACCTCTAAGTGCCCCAGAGGTGGCCATTCTTAATGTATTTGAATCCAACATGTGGAAGTATCTCAAGGCATCGTGGTCTGCTCTCCTGGAGGCAAGAGAGAGGCCTAGGACATCAATGGATCAATCTCCATGGTGGTGTCCTCTCAGAGGAATGTGAACTGTTTCACCTGACTCAGCAGTTGAGTGTGAATGACTCCAGGGAATTTCTGTGTTTGGTGCTAGCTGTTAAACACTACCTTGGGGGCCAGTGAGATGGCTCAGTGAGTAAAGGTGCTTTGCTGCTAAGCCTGATGATCTGAGTTTGATCCCAGAGAGAATTAGCTCTTGAAAATTGTCACTGACCTCCACATGCATATTGTATAACATATGTGTCTATGTGTGTAACCTTCACACACACACACATATACACACAAAAAAATAATCCTTAAAAACAGTATAAAAATAAAATAAACACAGGCTGGGTGTTGGAGGCGCAAACCTTTAATCTCAGCACTCAGGAAGCAGAGGCAGGAGGGTCTCTGTGAGTTTGAGGCCAGCCTGGTCTACAGAACAAGTGCCAGGATAGGCTCCAAAGCTACACAGAGAAACCCTATCTCAAAAAAAACCAAAAAAATAAAAAATAAACACTATGTGATTTATCATCAGGAAGCAGAAGCAAAGAAACCAAGGAAACATTTAAACCAACTAAAACAGTCCAGCTAAGCAATGGTCAGGGGAACTCATCAACAGTATTCATGACAGATCCCAGAAATATCCTCCAAAGATGTCAGTGGTGACAGGGACCCAGGCAGAGTTCACACAAGGCAACCAAAAAGATTCATTTAATCTTTTAAAAAGCTGGATTCAAGCAAACCTAGGATTTGCATCCTTGACACAAAAAAGAATTTCATAAATAGCTGGTATGACAAAGAGCTGGGCATTTACTAAAAATACAAAGAAATGCATCCAAGAGAAGAATAAAAATATACCCCAAAGGAGAGTCACTTTAAACCATGGGGGTGAGAGGGTGTCAAGAGAAAGAAACACTCAGGATAAGAACATGGCATATCCAAGTGTGGGTGTGAGCTTCCTTAGGGGAGTCACAATTAACTATCATAGCATTACCTACATTTGGTGGCTCTCAAGAGGTCACTAAGAAATCTTTATTTCCCCCTTCTTTCTCCTAGTGTGTGTGTGTGTGTGTGTGTGTGTGTGTGTGTGTGTGTGTGTGTGTGTGTGTGTGTGTGTTTGTGGAGGTCAGAGGACACTTGCAAAAGTTGATTCTCTCTTTCCACTCTGTGGGGCCTGGAATGGATGGAACTCTGGCTTGCCAGCATGTGCTTTTGCCCACTGGGCCATTTCACAGGCCTTTCTATCTCTCTTTGATAAGGGAGATTATCAGGTGTCTCTAGAGGTGACATCTAATTAGGTAAAACCAGAAACCACTTGGTGGCACAAAAGAATCCTTTTACTCTACAAAGGGGGTTTCTGGTGAGATTCCTAAACTGCAGATTTGCACATAGAGGAAAAGGCAAATGTCAATTGGGTTGGAATTCTTGAGGCGGGAACAGGCTGCAACCAGACCCTGGGTTAAAGGATTCCTTTCCCTTCTCATATCCCTATAATCTGTCCTGTCTTTTTCTTCTCCTTCAGTTTTACCTCAGATTGAGCCCACAGCCTCCCCTGTTACAGACAGGGCCACACAAGTAAAAGCCCATGGACAAGGACTGTGACTCATCTTTGTATACCCATGGGCCAGCAGTCACACCCAGGCCCTAGCAAACTTAGTCCTGAAAGCATGCCTATACAGAGTTGGTTCCCAGTAACTGTTTATTGGTGAAGGTCATGGGGGCAAGATTATTACTCTGTCATCTTCCTTCCACCCCCCTTTATAGAGGAGGAAGTTGCAATCAGAGGGAGAGGAAAATTGCCCAAGGTCATCCCTGAGTCAGAGGTAGAGCAAAGACTTGAACTCAGAACCTTGAGTTCTTGGCTTGGGGACGGGACTTAGGCTGAGTAAGAAACTGCTTCAGGGCATGGGCACTGGGCAGGGCTTTCCTGTCCCAGTTGCTTGGGATGGCAGCTTTATGGTCCTTCACATTCCTGGGACATGTTAGAGCCCATGTCTCTCCTCTAATCATCCCAAACCAGGCTTGGTTCCTTCTACAGGAAGCTGGGCTCCAGATGTTTGCACAATGTGACAGGTAATTGGTTTATGGCAGGCCAGGACTGGGGTTAGGGCTGGGAGATAGGGCTGGAAATGATAATACAGGGGGACCTGGAGGTTGGGCTTGCGGGTAGGATGTGACAGCCAGGGTACCTGGGAAGTCATGGAATTGGAAATGTCAGATAGAAAACCGATAACCACTTCAAGTGCCCTAGTCATATTCTGAGGTACTGTAATTAGTGTGTGTCCCCAGAAATACCTTCCTCAGAGGGGCTGCCCTGCAGCCTGGGCTAAACACACCCTAGCCTCCCACACTCTTCTCTTCAGGGGCTCCTTCTCACTGTTTTTTAAAAATGAATACAGAAACCACTAATCAATAGTAGTCTGTTCAAGCTATCAATCTCTCCCCTGCTTGACAAGGGGCTGGTCTAGGTCCCAGGGACATCCAGAACCCTTAATTCTTCCCCTTCCATTCCTAAAAGAGACATTTTCAGCCCCACAAACACAAGTCCACTCTCCAGATAAGGCTCAAAGAGAGTGGAATGTCATGCTCCCAGGTTAGAGGTTAAATTCCAGAGCGGAGCAGACAATAAGACCCTGAGCCTGATGGGGAGGCCCCTCCCCCACCCCTGGTTCTCTGTAGGATCAAAGCTGCCCGAGTAGACTGTGTGATCCTAGGCCAGAGAGAGCAGGCCAGTCCCTGACAAGGGAGGAAGCCCCTTTGCTTGGATTGTCCTCATGAAGCCGTTCCTCTTCAGAGGTTCAAAGGCTGGTACCGAGGCAGGGAGAGGAGAACCAGAATTTGGCAACGGATGGGGAAGTAGCTGGACCAGAAAAATGGGGCTTCTTGTTGATGGAGGAGTCCAGGTGACTGCCTGATTCCTCAGCCTTCCCAACTCCGTCCCAGATTCCTGAGCTACCACGGATGCACGGATTCCCCATGAGACGTAGGGAACCACCGCAGAGACGATGTTAAGAAGCGCTTGACATCGATGCTAGATCGGTTTCTCTGGATATAGGAGACAGACAGTTTCCTCAAATAATCTTTCTTTGCTGCGGACTCATCCTGATTGATGGGAGAACCTGGGGTACACTGAGACCTTCCTAAGGCCAGGGGATCTTAATATCAACCAGCCCTTTCCCCTATGACACCATGGAGTTTCCTAGTAAGCCACTTTACAAATCAACTTTCTATTGTGCCCACCCCTCCCCCACTCTTCACCTTCCCATCATCCCCTTAATTCCATACCCTTCCCGGCCCTCCAACTCTCCTCTCCTCCCCATCTCCTTGGCTTAGCACAAAAACACCAGGAACAGAAGTTCAGGGAGCTTGGCTCAAGGCTGGAAGAAGGGTCATGATTTCCTTAGAGTTCAGTTTGGATGTAGCTCAGTGGTAGAGTGCTTGCCTAGCACGAGAAACAGGGAAAGAAAAGGAAACGCGCGCGCGCGCGCGATGGGGTGGGGGCGGGGCGGGGTGGGGTGTTCGTCAGTACCGAGAAACAAAACCCAAAATCAAAATCAAGTTTGCAACAGCCTGAGAGGAAAATGATGAGACTCGAGAAACAGCTACAGCTACCCGAAAGAGCCTCTTGCGGGGCATCTCTTCAACAAACACCATTGCAAAGCTTTCAGCTCTCCTAACTCTCGGTTTCCTCGAGGCCTTTTACTTCCACCCTGCCCCAAATCAAGTTCGTTCCAAGGAGGCACTAGGAGACCCAGCACAATGGTTGGCGATGACAACGTGATGGAAACCAGGAATCTGGGAAGACATCCCCGTGGGTCAGGGACCTCAGGACAGCCCAGGTCTGTTCCCGGATCAGTGACCAGGAATAGGACGGGGGAAGGTTGAGAAGACTACACTTTCCAAACGCTGACGAATCGGGGTAAGCGAGGGGTCTTGACACCGCGGATTAAGGTAGCCGGGGAGGCGGAGAGAGGATTCTTTGAGACCTGAGACTGGACGAGGCAAGGGGAGGCTCCGCCAGGAGGAGGAGTTGCCTCCCACGTCCTGCTGTCGGGGCTCCCTCCCGTCGTGGCGCTGCTATAAAGCCTCTACCGGCATGATCGCGACGCCTCCTGTGGCTTCCTCGGTGCCTGACCCCGCGCTGGGCAGCGGCTTTGTCCTCAAGCACCATGCAGCTGCTTCGTGCTCTGTTGGCGCTGGCTTACGCAGTCAGCTATACCGCAGGTACCCTCGGGTGACCCTCTGCGCCCCCAGCCCCGCTCCCCTCGCCAGCGCGCTCCGCTGCGCGTGGTTCGTGCAGGGAACAGTGAGGGTGCAGCGGACCTGGCTATGAGTGTGCGTGGGCGCCTACATGTGTCCGCGGGCGGCTGCGGGGGAGCATGTGCCCGCACGTGCGCGCCCGCGGGCTGTGCTGAGGATGCTTCTCCGACCCGCTGAGGGATGCTCGCTCCTTTCCTCACCTTGGTTCTCCTGGGTCTGCCCCTGGGTGGCCAGTGGCCACCTGCAGGGACTCTGAGCCGGTAGCTGTTGCCCGCCCAGAGCAAACGCAGCAGGTTGGATGTTTTGGGGTCCCGGCGTTCCTCTCTCCCCACCTTGGGTTCCTGGCCTCAGAGCTGCAAGCTCCCTCCCTTCTCCCCAGCCCCCAGCGCTGGATTGGGAGCCTGGCGGGGGGCATCCCAGGACCCAAGTCCCCAGCCCAGCCGGTCTTTCCAGACAAGGTGATTTTCGTTTAAAGATTAATGGTGAGACCGAGCTCTTAATTATTCTTCTAGGTGGGAGGTAGCGGTAGAGGCGTGTTAATATTTGATAAGGAGCTAAAGGCGATTCTAGCGGCTGGCACCTTCTCCGCTACCCCATAGCTCTTCACAAAGACCTCATCTCTTAGTCCGCAGGCAAGCTTTCCCCTCCAACCAGCCAAACCTCCCTTCCAGAGTTAGGTACTCTGCCCTTGGATTGGATTGGGGGCGGGGGTCAGCCCTCAAGGGAGCTCTCGGCAGCAGAGGACGAAAGAGAATGCTCCCCGCTGCCGGTGGAACGTAGCTTGGAACGTGGCATCCTACAACTCCGAAGCTCCTTCCTAGGGGGAGGGAAAAGAGCACCTAAGACAATGAGAGACAGATAGAAAGTGATTGAAGAAAAGGCTGGGTTGGATATTTGAAACGATTTAGTATAAAGAAAAATGTTTTTAAATTATCGGGTGCCTCCTAGCTGTTCACCTTGGGTGAGTCATACAACCTGTTTTGTCGTTTACAACGCAGGTATAGTAACTGCTCCTGGGTACTGTTTGAAGGATAATCCGTATCAGTATGTAGGCAGTGCCTGTGAGCTCTGGCCAGAAGTATTCAACAAGATGGTCATGCGGCGCAGCCGATGACCTGGAGCCATGTAGGCAGAAATCCACCTCATCTGACCTCTTCACACAAACTCTTCCCGTTTTAGTGTCAGGACCACCTTCCTTCGCGTACCATCCTGTAAGGATTGGAAAGAGCCCAGGAGGCACCGGAAAATCCTTAGGGGGAGGAGGGGGATATCCCACCCATTCAGAGCCCCAGACCCCGAGCCTGGAGGTGCTGGGACTTTGCCCAGGACACACTCAAGTTCTGCTGAGCTGGTTGCAAGTCTTCCCCCTTCCCTCACTGTGAGGGTGAGGTGAGCAAGGTCCATTAAAATGACTTCAGTCCTCTCTAAAAGGCCCCTGATCCAGGAGCCAAGATAAACCCTGCCCTAAAAGGGGGAGGGGGCGGCTCAGCCTAGGCAGGGGGCGAGGGTCTTGGTCCTGCTTCAGGGACAGATTTAGACTTCTTAGAGGAGGCTTTGCTTTAGGGGTAGGGGTGGAGAGAAGTGGAGGGAGGGGGAACTAGGATTGGAATGTAAAAACTATATTTTTAAAAAGGAGAAAGATAAAAGAAAAGAGGGGAGGGAGTGGGCTTGTGACTAGGGCTTAAGAACAGTGGCTCAGTGAGGGGCAGTGTTTTGTCTCTAACCTCACCTCTGGCCCAGGATTAGGTAGGACACAGCTGGGAGCCTCCTCTATCCTTCCCCGGTCCTTTATTTTGGGCATGGCCAGAGGCTGAGAACAGTTTCTTCTCTGCAATGGTAACCCTCAGAAGCAAGTGTGGGAGCCGGAGTAACTGGTGCCCTGCCACCTGACTGTGAGGTACCGGCCTGACCCTGGCTCCTGTCTCATCAACATTGTTTTTGTGGCCACCACCTCCTGAAGAGGGTAGTTACAAGAGTGTTCATCCAAGCAGGTCAAAAGTCTCTATGATTAAGACAGTGGGCCAGAGGTCACACTAACCAGGGAGCTGAGGCCAGAGCCAGGGAAGGGAAGATTCCCAAGAAATGCCCAGAGGGGCTCCCCCTGGGGTGTGCCTGAGGGCCTTACCCTCTAGAGCCAGCCTTCTCCAGGAATAGCTTCCCCTTGGGCCCCAAGGGCTGAGGGGGCGGGGCAGGGACAGTGGCTGCTCTCCCATAACTTGATTCTTCTTCTTCTTCTTCTTCTTCTTCTTCTTCTTCTTCTTCTTCTTCTTCTTCTTCTTCTTCTTCTTCTTCTTCTTCTTCTTCTTCTTCTTCTTCTTCTTCTTATTCTTCTTCTTCTTTTCTCCTCCTCCTCCTCCTCCTCCTCCTCCTCCCCCTCCTCCCCCTCCTCCTCCTCCAAGCCTGTTCTACTTCCAGGTCCTCTGAGGACCAATGAAGACAGTTCCTCTCCTCAGTGTGACTGCCCCTCTCCTTCATCTGGTCTGCCAGTTTGGGGTAGGGGCAGAGCAGGCCTGGAAGGAAGGGGCACAGACTCCAGGTTCCCAGACACCTAGAGGGGGATGGCCGCTGTCCTCTGCAGAATGGTCTCATACATACTTCCTGAGTGCAGCTGCTCCCAGAGAGTAGAACTGCCACGGGGGAGACCCTGCATCTCTATAAACAAGGCCATGCCAGCTGGGCAGTAGGAATGAACTCTGAAACTAGAAAATCAGAAGCGGTCTTTGGAGGACAGTTCCTGGAGGGCTCACTCTAATACCTAACTCCTCCTGGCTACAAAGCTTGATTTTTTTTTTTTTTTTTTTCTGTTTCGCTCCCCACCCTGTCTCTATTTCAGGGATGGCTCCCCTGCCCAGCCTCAGGAAGAGACGGGGCTTGGGGGTGCAAAGCTTAGGCAAGAATACTGTCTAGGGTATACACGTATAATCTGAGCCTGAGCTACATAGGGAGATGCTGTCAAAACAAAACAAGAATTGGGCCTATAGCTCAGTGGTAGAGCACTTGCCTGGCATGAACCAGGCCCTGGTTTGATTCCGAGCATTGGAAGAACAATAAAACAAGACAAAAGCCCACAAAGCTCCCAGAAGGAAGGGGCTGATAATGCATTGTGAGGACTCAGAGCTGAGCCCGGCACAGCCCTTTTCTTAGGAATGTCCTCACCCGTGAATTCTTTCCAACTCACTCCATGTCTTTTCCTCTCCTGCCTTGGCTTAGTTTTGGCCATCTGCTCACTGACAGGAGGCCAGGGAGGAGGGGCAGAGTTGTCTGAACTTTACTGAGTGTCGGCTGCCTGGAGGAATCCACACCACCTCTCCTTTAATCCTCTCCACAGTCTCATGGGAGGGCATGTTAGGACCATTTAACGGATGACAAAACCAGAGAGAGTAAGTAAAAGACCATCCCCGAACACGGGGCTCCTAAGTGGCCCAGTCAGAATTCTAACTTTGGATGAAATGCTTCATTCACCCTGTCTGTGAATCTGTCTGTCTCTTTCTCCTGTAGACCTTATTTTTGGAGCAGAATGACTGGATGTGCCGTGCCCCTGCGTGGGTCCCCTTGTCAGTAGATTGTACTGCTGTGGCATGTTTGTAGTGCTGCTTTCTTCAGTATTACTGGTTCTTCTGTCTTCAGAGTTATGACAGTTCAGATCGGACCCTGGCAAAGCAAAAGGGGCACTAAGGAAGGATTACCTGGATCCGCACCCTCCTCCCTGATCCCCAAGGCAGCTCAGCTGGAAGGGTGGAACTCACTTTGTTGTTCCGGGAAGGAGGGTTGTTCTAATCCTTCACTCTCAGCTGAGCCTCCTCTTAGGTTCCAGGCAGGATGCAGGAGGGAGGAGAGAGGTTGATGACCCAGGGACAGAGCCTTAGAGAGGCCCCGAAGACCAGGACCCTAAGCGTGAGGAGCACTCTGTGTTGATGACATTGCTATTGTTTTACCTTATCTTATTTGTATTTTGAGACAGGGTTTCTCTGTGTAGCCTTGACTGTCCTGGAACTTGCTCTGTAAATCAGGCTGGCCTGGAATTCAAGAGTCGCTTGCCTCTTAGCCCCCAAGGGCTGGGATTAAAAGTGTGCACCACCACACGGCCATTCCTTTGGTCATTGAGTCTACTTTCCTCGGGACTGCAGTCCCACGCTCCAGAAACCTTCCATCCCAACCCAGCAGAGGACTTTAACACCAGAGTTTTTCCCAGGCTCTGGTCCATGGGGCTGTGTGAGCAATTCACACGCACACCCAGGGTTCACATTCTTCCTTTCTCTGTTCCAGCCGCACACTGGTGCTATGAGATCCAGGCCAAGGAGCCCAACAGCCACTGCCAGGGTGAGTACTGCCACTCACTCATCAGCTTCTTGCAACACAGGCGCACTTGCACACATGTCCAGCAGTCAGTGACTAGGAAACAATGAATGTCACTGAGGTTGACACTGGAAACTAAATTAGCAGCACATTTGCTATTTTTGTCCAACACAATGGAGGCTTGACTCTGGTCGAGCCCTTTGAGGTGGAAGTGGAGATGGTTCTTGGTAGTTTGTTACTGGAGCACTGAGGCATGCAGGGTCTTGCACAAGCTAGACAAGAAGCATTTACCACTGAGCCACGTCCCCCATTGCCTCCTTGGCACTTTTCCTAATGCTGACCAACCTTCCTGTAGCCTGCTGTGTTGAGGGACAGCCACTCTCTTGCCCCTACCTAGCTGAAAGTTGGAGTTACCTGCCTGGCTCTTCTTCCCCCCCACTCCTTAGAGAATGCCTCGTCAGGTCCAGGTTCTTTGCATCAGGGCTCTTCCAGGGGGTCCTCCTCCACAATTTCCAAAGCTGAAAAGGCATCTCCCACTTGGCCACTTTTTTTGTTTTTTTTTTTTTTTACTTGTTTTTTGAGACTGGGTTTATCTGTATAGCTTTGGAGCCTGTCCTGGAACTCGCTCTGTAGACCAGGCTGGCCTTGAACTCACAGAGATCTGCCTCCCAAGTGCTGGGACTAAAGGCATGTGCCACCACTATTCGGCCCATTCAGTTCCTTTTAATCTTCCCAACACTCCTTGTGAGTGCCTAGGGGTTCAGGTTCCCCCTGTGAAAGCCAGAGCTCTTAGGCATCAATGGCAAGCCTGCTTCTCTATCCACCTCCTCCTCCTCAACCCCCCCAACCCTCAGCCACATCAGAGATGCACTCACTTGCCTATGCCAGCATGTTGCAGGAGGAAGAGGAATGTTAGGGCAGAACTCTGAGACTCATGCCCTGCTGCAGGACCGCACCAGCAATCCAAGACCCTGACTCATATCACTGGGTCAATGTGCCCTGGACTCTCAGACCTCTCTTTCCTGCCCAGGACCTGCCGACTGGAGTGGGGACTGTAAGAAGACCCACCAGTCCCCCATCAACATTGACACCACGGAGGCCAAGGTGAACCCCGACCTGAAGCCCTTCACTTTCATTGGCTACGACCAAAAGAAGAAGTGGGTAGTCAAGAACGATGGGCACTCAGGTGGGTCCTGTGGGGGCTGGGTGGGCAGGGCTGACTGCAGGACGGTGAGTCGCTCAGGCTGGAAGTGGGAGGTCCCGAGAGGAGGAGGCATTAGTTAGTTGTGTTTTCAGTCATTTCATCACAACAGTGGGGTGCAGGGAGGAAACTGTTCCCAGAAGGAGGGAACGACCTTTGTGAAAGCACAGGGGCATGAAACCGCTTGGGTGTTTGGGTGGGGAACTGAGTGGGAGCAGCTGTGTGTGGAAAGAGGCCATAGAGGGAAGCTAGGAGGAGCTGATCAAGGCCCACAACAGGTCACCAGGGCTGAGGAGTTTGGAGTTATCCTGGGGACATCAGGGCACCATGGAAGGAGTCAAAACAGAAGCAGGTCCAAGATAGGGCTACATTTTGGGGTGAGGTGGTGAGGCAGCCAGGAAGAGTGAACGCTGAGTCTCCTCGGGGTCTCGGCCTCAGTGAAGGTGGGAAGTGATGGGAGTTGGGGTGGGGACGGGGAGGTCAGCATGAGGACTCTGCCCACTCTGGTGTCCCCAGTGAAAATGATGCTGGCAGACGGAAGCTTCATTGCTGGCGGAGACCTGCCTACACAGTACCAGGCTGTGCAGTTGCACCTGCACTGGTCTCAGGAGTTTGACAGGGGCTCAGAACACAGCATTGACGGGAAACACTTTGCCATGGAGGTGAGGAGCCTTCCAGCTGGTGCCTGGGCTGGGCTCTGGGTCTGTGCCCACCTTGGGCAGGATGGGTGATCCAGCTCCCCATAAGTCGCCCTTCTACACACCCCCTCCTAGGTGCACATTGTACATGAGAAGGGCACATCGAGCAGTAAGGGGCAGGACTCCAAGGACAAGAATGCAGTGCTGGCATTCATGGTTGAGGTAGGACTCCCAGCCCCATAATCCTGGAGGTTGTCTATCTTCCAGAAAGAGCTGCTTGTCCCCAGCAGCTCCCCAGGGGGCTCTCTTTAGCTTCCTTTCTTCCCATTCCAGGTGGGAGACGAGATGAACCAGGGCTTCCAGCCCTTGGTGGAGGCACTGTCTCATATCTCCAAACCCGGTGAGTCAGGACTACGGAACAGATGGCTTCTTCCCACAATGGAAGGGACAGGGGTACTGGGGTAGCAGCTTTTCCGTGTGCCATATGTAAGGGACTTTGTCCTCCACACTAGATACAAACACCACAATGAAGGAGAGCTGCCTGCAGGACATGCTTCCTAAGAAGGAGAAACTGGTTCACTACTTCCGTTACCTGGGCTCACTGACCACCCCGAACTGTGACGAGACGGTCGTCTGGACTGTGTTCAAGGAACCCATTAAGCTCCACAAAGACCAGGTACTCAGGCCTGGGGCAAGGTGCAGTCTCCCACATGGAGCCCCCCACTCCCATCCCCACCCCACTCCCACTTGCCCCACAGGTCTCTGGGGTGGGGAGACGAGAATCATTGCATCAGTCCTTGGGTTTCCACTGGCAGAGACAGGCATGAAGGAAAGCTGTCTGCCACTTTCCTGAATAGAGGGCCCTGTGAGAAGTCATGGAAGGGTGCTCAGAATAGGCTTCCAGAAAAGTGGGAGAGTTGACTGGTTAGAGTGGGGAACCAGAGCTCAGGTTGGACTTCCTTAGTTCACTTCCTTAGTGCATTCAACAAACAGCACTTGAGTCTACAATAGCCTCTGGAAAGACAGCAGGAAGCCCACAGGACCAAAATCCCTTGGGCTTATTATAGCAGTGATTCTTAAAGTGTGGTATCAACATCTTTACCGGTGCGAATTTTCTAGAAATGTCCTTTCTTAGGTTCACTCTGTACCTATTGGATCATATTCTGGGGCTGGGAGTCCAGGCATCTGGGGTCCTGAGCTCCTTCAGCTGATGCTAAAGGATGTTCGCCTCCAAGAGCCACTGTGGCATTGCAACAGTGAGGGTAACAGGCCTGAAAAGGTGACCCTGGAGGAAAGCGAAGGCAGTGTCACTCAGGTGCCCACAAATGCCACATTCCATACTCACGGTGGTCACTCTGAGCCCCTCTTTCTTTCTACTGTGGTTCTGAGCGGTGAGGTGTCTGGTCTGAGGTGACACAGCAAGGAACATGGCCCCACCTGCTGAGCCCCGTCTCTTTCACAGATCCTCAAATTCTCCACGGAGCTGTACTATGACGAAGGGAAGAAGCTGCCTATGAAGGACAACGTGAGGCCCCTGCAGCAGCTAGGAAACCGCCAGGTGTTCAGGTCCCACGCCCCAGGACAGCTGCTGTCTTTACCCCTGACCACCCTGTTGGTCCCTACACTCACATGCCTGGTGACCAGCTTCCTCCAATGACAGACCACTTCTGGATATGTGACCTCTGACCTTTAGAGGACATGGCTTGGCTGGACTTTGGGGCCTATTAAAATACGGGTAGCTGGCTGTGGAGATGCACACCTTAAATCCCAGCACTAAAGTGGGCAGAGACATGTGGATCTTTGAGATTGAGGCCAGCCTGCTCTCCACACGCAGGGAGACCATCCAGGGTTACAAAGGGAGACCCTGGCCTCCACCCCCTCCCCACAATTAAACAAAATAAAATATGGATATATTTTTGGAGAAACCCTTTGCAAGTTTTTTTTTTAACTCTGTAAAATCACCTTGTTCTATTAACCCCACTCCTCACAGGGCAGGGACCTTAAGGCCTAGAGGTTTCTCCCAAAACAGGTCTACCCTGCCTGTGTATGTGAGTCCCATCAACACACATTCCCTCACGTCCCAACTTCAGAAAGACAGCGAAGGTACCCTGGAGCACCAATACGAAAAAAACCAGAGGGCTTCTGACCTGAGCTTCGTTTTACAGTGAGGGATAAAGATCTAAGAATAAAGGCAAGATGAAGGCTACATATTGACGCTAGAGTGCAGGTGCTGGGTGTCCACCCCCCCAGGTGGAGCATGGAACTGCATGTGATGGGAGCAGGATTCCTTCATTTGCTCAAATATCTCTTGAGCTTGGCAGATAACTGGGCAGGTAACAGGGACAAAACGATGAGATGCCTGGGGCTCTCAGTCCTGGGCACGGACAAAAGATTCACTGTCCCAGAAGGCAGTGACAGAAACCAGGAAGGGCAGCTGCGGTTCCCATGGATGGTCAGGGCCAGGGATTCTGCAAGGGAAGGAGGTCATCTGGATTCAATCACGCCCAGGCAGGGGGTCGGGCAGGATACACATCCGGGAAGCAGCAGGGAGGAAGGAGGAAGAGAAGGAGGGAGGAAGAACAGAGGGTAGACAGTCTCTGGGTATTATAGATCCTGGACCACCAGTGGGTTCGTGCCCAGGGCCAGGATCTTCTGTGGCATAAGGTTGCAGAGGTAAGGAAGGACAAGGCGGAACCAGTTCCCAGGTTCCCAGGCTCAGGTACAGCGCAGGGTCAGCAATAGTTGTGACAGAAGAGTCAGGCGTCCCCACCACTGTGTCTCCAGTGGGTTGTCCCCAAGGAGGGTGTGTGTGGAGAACAGAGAAGGAAAGATGGTACTCACCATCCATGGCAATGTTGGAGTTTTGAGCTGTGGGAAGTGAGGATGAGGTCACAGGCCTTGAGCAAATAGGAGAGCTGCAGCCAGGCCAGAGCCAGGCTGCTCTGCCTAGGGCTGAGGAGAGGTGTGTGTCCCCATAGGAAGGTGCAAACCACAGGGGCTCATGAGGCCTAGAAGGCCTTAGAAGGTAATGATCCCAGTACCTCCAATCAGCTAAACCTGGGGTAAGATGAATGGCCATCCCCTCCCCAACTGCCCTCTTCTCTTCTTCATTTGTGGCCAATAATAAGTACCTTCCTCTTCCTTCACCAATGACCACACAGCTAGGGTGGTGGTGGTGGTGGTGGTGGTGGTGGTGCTGGTGGTATTCTGTAGTCATGGCAACAGCAGGCAGCCTGTGTCAGCAGGGGGTATGTAGACCAAGGGTTTTCTTTAGTTCCCAGGAAGCCTGCAGGGGATCTGCCTCCTACCCAGGCTCTGGGCTGTGAGGTCAGAACAGCCATTCCTACTCTGGACAACCTCCCCCCTTCTACTCCCTTTTTGTCCCTCACACCCCTCCCCCATCTCCCTCCCCACTCACTTGTCCTCGAGTGGCCTTCAGTGAATAATGTAGCAGCAGAACCAGAAGTGCTAGCTCTCTACAAGTGACCAGAGGAGGTCTGGATTTTCCACCCCAGGTGGAAGGCACAGGACCTTCTCCTGCCTGCCTGGCCCCATAATAAACCTACCTGGCTAGTGGAAGTCAGAGTGGGGCAGTGTTCATCCAGGCCTCAGATCATCTCTGTGTGCTCTGGAGGCATCCTGACAAAACCACTCAGTGGCCGGTCACCATGAGTGCTCCCCTGGCCCCGTCCCCACACAAGGAAGTGCCTGTCACTGAAGAACGTCCTCTTTTAGTGAATTCACTGGCACTATGCTGACCCCCACTTGGAGCAGGTGGCCTAATGGCTTGTACCCAGCCTGCCTGGCTCATGGGGCAGTTTTCTCCGAGGATGTGGGATCTCCTCAGGTACAAGGGAGGCCCATTCTGACTGTCACCAGCCTTCCTTCCTATCTTCTCCTTGGGTGATTGCATTAGGTGTGCACAGTCATAGATGCTTCCCTGCAGATGCCAAGCACCAAGGCTATAGCCAGACTTCTCTGAGCTCCACAGGCTATGAAGCACTTTATTGAGTACCTACTGTGTGCTGACCATGGGTCTCTACCATTTTGTGGATGAGGACTTCTTCCATTGCATGGTTGAGGGAGCTGCAGTACAGCAGGGTCAAGAAGCCTGTCAGACTCTGAGGTCACAGCCTGGGGTCACTCTGTACCTCCTTAAGCTCCTCATAGTCAACTTTCTTCATCAGAGCCATCCCGGAAGACAGGCCACTCTGACGGACAGGGTGGGGTCTGCTGTACCCTTTCCCGCCCTATTTCCAGTGGCTGCCTCTATTCCCTTGGGGCCACCTCTCCTTCCCTGTGTTTAGGTTTGGCATCCCGGTAGGAGCTGTGGGCTAAAAATACTCGCCCATGTGTTTAGATGATTCTTGGAGAATAAACTTCCCCATCTTGGCTCTCACTTTGCACACTTGCAGGCCCTGCTTCCTGTGGCTCTGATCTGACTGTATGGGAGGGAAGAGGGTCTGCAAGGCCCAGAGTCCTGGGGGTGGTAGACGAGCTCATTGAACATGGACTGAAGAGGCTGCGAGGTCACGAGATGCCAAGAAGTATCTGTATGGAGACCATTGCTGTGACCCGTAGGTGCCAAGATAGGACTGAACTTGGCCTTCTGGTCTAAGTGACCTCACTGTCCGGGCCTTCTGCTGCTGACCCGGGGAGGAAGGCCAGGCCTGTCTGTGGGTGGAACATGGCTCTCAGACCTTCTGCTTAACACACATTTCAACAGCCGATTTGTTTGTTTATCTGAGTAGGGACAAAGACTTGACCTCCTATGATGAAGGAGATGTTGGGGTGGTGCCTAGACAGGCCCAGGGAGGGGCTTCCTCTGGAAGAAGGCCGAAGGACAGATCAGTCTCAAGCTGGTTCCTTCCCCTGATGCTGGCTTTGCAGGTTGTTTGGAGACACGGCACACAGGAAGGGTTATTGAGTAAAGACTGGAACTGTCTACTTTCAACAAGATTTAATCTTCCAACAAACACTACTATATCCTTCAGGTTAGAGACAGAAGAACCAGGCAGAAGGAGCCCAGCCCAGGCCATTCCTGCAAGCTTCCAGCTATAGGCCCGACACAGTGAAGACAGTAGAGCCAGATATAGGAACAGGATGGGAGCAGGTTGTTGACATCCTGGAGTCAGAGACACACAGACCTGGAATAGAATCCTTGTCTACTAAAAACTAGCCAGGTTTGGTAATTCGAGTCACCAGAACTTTAGTTTCCTTGTCTATAAAATGGGGATGAAGGGAAATGTGAGATAGCAGAGTGCTTGCTGTGCATGCGTAAAGACCTGATTAGATTCTCAGTATCCATGTCTAAAACCTAGGCTGTGGCTGGGCGGTGCTGGCACACGCCTTTAATCCCAGCACTTGGGAGGCAGAGGCAGGTGGATCTCTGAGTTTGAGACCAGCCTGGTCTTCAGAGCGAGTGCCAAGACAGGCTCCAAAGCTACACAGAGAAACCAAAACACCAAATAAATAAATAAATAAATAAATAAATAAATAAATAAATAGCTAGGCTGTGGTGGCCCTCACATGTAATCCCAGAGCTGGGGAGGCAGATAGCCAGCCTCTCCTAATCAAGGAGCCCTCTAAAAGAAGGTGGGGGCTGGTGAGGTGGCTTAGTTGGAAAGTGCTTGCTGAGTGCAGTCCCTAGCACCCATATAAAAGGCCAGGCACAGTAGTGTGTGCCTGCAATCCCAGTGCTGTGCTGGGGAGGCAGGTGGGTAGAACCCTGGAAGCTGGCTATCTGACCTAGCCTAGTCCGAGGGCACCAGGATCAGTGCAAACCCCTGCCTCAAAACAAGTAAGGTGGCAGCCAGGTGGTGGTGCTTTAATCCCAGAACTTGGAGGCAGAGGCAAGTGGATCTCTAAATTCAAAGCCAGCCTGGTCTACAGGGCCAATTCTAGGACAGCCAGGGACACATGGAGAAATCCTGTCTCAAAAAACAAAAACAAACAAACAAGCAAAAAGTAGGGTGGGAGACTTGATCTCCACAAAAACACACCTGCACACAGACACAGGCATATACAACACACACACACACACACACACACACACACACAGACAGAGGTACACAAACACAGACACATACCACACACAGACACATACCACATATACAGACACGTACCACACACACACTTGCACACACACACTTGCACACACACACGCACACATATACACACTTGCACACACACTTAAAAAACACAGCAAGGCAGATGACTATTTGATCTCTGGTTTCCACATACACAACACAGCCCTGTGCATTCCCCCACATGTACACTCAGCACCCCACATGTAAGCACATATACACAAATATACACATGCCCATACAATGTTGTCTTTTTATTTTCTTCAGAGCAATGGGTCATTAAGCTAAAACTCCAATCTCATATTTTAAAAAATTTATTGGCAGGGGCTCACTAAATATGTAGTGAGTCAGTATGCAGACCAAACTGGCCTCGAACTCACAGACGCCATTAATCCAAGTACCCTGGAGACAGAGGAAGGCTGGATCTCTGAGTTTGAGGTCAGCCTGGTCTACAGTGTGAGTTCCAGGACAGCCAGGGCTAAACAAAGAAATCCTGTTTTTAAAAAACAAAACAAACAAACAAAAAGGCGTGCATCTCCATGCTTGGCTCCCCACATACGTATTAATGGAAATTCTGACAACATTTACCTTAGAGTTTGCTTCAAAGATAAAACATAATACCTAAGCAAGAGAATATGTTCGATATTGGCAATTATTACCATTCTTTTTAGAGAGAGTGCTGGAGGGTGGGCACCACCTACAGCCTGGGTTTCTGGGGAGTGATTATTGGCTGGTACTCCTCTCCATTTATGGGGGATACATCAAAGGTGTTTGTGAAGCACTCAAGACAGGGACAGCCAGTGTCTACCAAGACAAGTGTCTCACCC